GATCTTAAAGGTCTTTTCTAACCTAAATGTTTCTATGATTGTAAGATTCTATCTCACAAAATTTAACCACGCTGTAGACAGTAACCAGAGTAGATTGTTAACTAAATCTGGAAGTTCAGGCTGCAATACCTGACTAGTATAGATACCTGGCATAACTTTAAATACTTGATGAAATATATTTTAATTGTTAAACCCAAAAGTTTGTTTTTGCTTCTCCGCGATTTCGTTTTAGTTGCATGTGAAAGTTCTCTTATGCATGAAAAACTGTTCTAGTTATGCAGAAATAAAAGGGAAAATGGCAATGGCTATACTTGCGGGGGGCGGGTTTTGAGCGTAAAAGAACATTTCTCATCTCTAAAGGTGCATCCACATGTGACACCCAGTGCAGCTCTACAGCAGAACTGGACGGCGTCTTGTCAAAGTTCAGATCTGCCAAATGCCCAAGGTCTGGTGCCAGAGCAGCCTCGATCAAGTACTTTATCATCCACTGCTCTGACACTGCAGCCAGCGAAACCCGTTAGCCACTGGATGACATCAACCTCCCTGTGCGAAGCAACATATAAGAAGGATGCAGTCAAAACTCAGCAAGAGCTTGGAGAACTCCAGAACGGTTTGTTACACCCTCCATTCAATAATGTTTCGGCTCGGGAACGGGAACATCCTGACTCGGATCTTAATTGGAGCACTGGAGAACAGTACGTATAAACAGGCTAATTCTTGCTCTGCAAATTGTGCAGTACCTACACTTCAGCTGAGAATTAACCAAAAGAAAAGTCTCTTTCTCTTCTGAAAAAAAAACCTGAAGTAGCTCATGGAAACCAATATTTAGACATGGATCAAACTTTTGTAACTTACAGTCCTCATTTCAGTTTTTAACTCCTTGAACCCTGTGTTTTAATTGTAATGACCAAGAGGAAATTCAGTGTGTAACTGAAGTAATTATTCAGCATTGCTGTCCCTGGTATGCCTGAAATAAACAACAGGATGTGCTTAGTTCATGCAGATCCCATACATTACGTCTGGCCATGAAGGTCTCCAGAGAAGAAAAAATGCTTGTATTTATCTTCTGCACTCTTGCTTGTGTGACTTAGCTAATACAGGAAACAAAATTGGGGGATGGAGGGAGAAACCTAGGTTGGCAAAGCAAGCATGGCTGCGTGGGCTTGGCCAACAAGAGGAAATGGAAGCAGTTGTCATTCACTCCTATTATGGAGTTACTTGGAGGCAAACTGTATCCAAGAGGAGTATTTAATGCCAGCGTTTTAACCTTTTTAAAGGACTCTGCTGCCTTTCAGGTTTTATACCTATATACTTTATACTGTATGAGAAACTTTCTGGGGGCAGTCTCTAATAATATTCTAAAGGCTCTCTCACTTGCTTCATTTGTGTGGCTAAAAAGAGTCATTCATGGGGGGAAAAAAATAGGATCGCTAGTTGCCGTCTGTCTGGGATGTTTTCTTTGTTCTAGACTGGGAAAGGCCTCCTTACTGCTTAGAGTGCATTACTGCTAAGTCCTGAACTGAAGCTGGAATTTAAATAATAGCTTTTATTTCAAGCTCATGTTCTTAATCTTTCCTTTGAAGGCACTCTAACAAGAGAACCGCTGGTCTAACTACTTCTGTGGACATGAAAGAAGGTAATAAGCCAAGTTTTGCTAAAGACTGATGCTATTGATATGACTGTTACTGGCTGGGGATCAGTAGCGTGTGGCTACTAGTTCCAACCTTAGCTAAGCTTTCTGACTTTCCGAACTGCATCCCTGCATGTTTGGGCAATGCCTCTATATCCCTTCCATGGAGCCAGTCCCTGTTTCTACCTTCTGTGCAATTTCTTTTTGTTTGAGCTCAGCTGGGATTTTGCTGTTTGTCCTGCCTGCTTGACTTTCTGTGTCAGAATGGATCTTTCCTGTGAATTGAAGACGGAGTCCTCAGAGGCCACCCAACTGTCCAAGGTCCCTCTTGCCCTTCAGGGCAGCCTCCCTTGGGAACCTGCCAAGCAGATCTCTGAACAAGCTGAAATCTGCTCTCCCAAAATTGTGGGTTGTCGTTCTGCTACTCATCTTGTTTACTTCTCTTACTAACATTTTGCTGGCTACTGAAATGTTAATAAACAATCCCAGGCTACTTCAGAAATGATCTCGCTGTTCTCGTTTCTAGTATCTAGAGTTGGAAATTCTTCCTTTGCTTCTGGAAATGCTTCTCAAGCTACCCCAAACACCTCGCTGGGAGGAGCAATGCAGGCAACACCGTTCAAAGTGCAACCTTCACCTACAGTTCATACGAAGGAAGCGTTGGGTAAGCATCTGGAATAACATGCTGGTTTCACGGGAGTTAATGGGATCTTGCCCGGTAATTTTAGTGGAGCCGAATATACAAGGAGGCTATCTGGTGATGGACATGCACACCATTCAGTCAAAGAGGAAAATAAAACTAAATTGGTACTCTTCTCTTGCGATTGCCTGGATGACCCAAAGCTTTTGACCAGGAATATATGCTTTAATAACATCCCAGCAGCCACATCCCGTAAACTCCTGCATAAGTCACTGGTGGTACACCTGCCAGGCTTCTTTGGGCAGCATGTTCTCTGAGCTGCTCTTGTCAGTACCGTCAGGGACTCCTGTTTCTGAGATGATGACCTACAACGGACTAATGTGGAAGAATGTTAGGAAGTTAATAAGTCAACTCTGGTTGATGTTGAGCTTCACCCAAACCTGATACAAGGGTGACTTATGCAAAAGGTCTTTGATGATTTAACGGACATTGTCAATTCTAAATATTGCTTTTTCAAAATCCTAAAAGGGAAATTGCAATTGTATTTCTGGTGTCAGATGCGGAGTAATAATATCCTGATACTGTTTTATCCCTTTTGTACTCTTCTGCCATGTTCTTCTGTTTTAATAGTAAACCTGTTAACTGCTACCATGTAGCGAACTGCAGCAGTTGAATATATGTCTATAAAAATAATAATTAAAAAACAGCTGGTGGTATTCATTAGTCTTCCAAATATCTGAGAAGATAAAGGAGAATTTGCTCCTTTAGGAGAACTTGAAATCTCATCTTGGAGAGGAAGAAAAAAAAAGGCCATGGCGCCAACAAGTATGTGTTGGCCCAGTCGGATCTTCCTGTGTTTGTTCAATTGTCTGGAGTGTTTAAATGCAATATGAAGGAATAATTGGTAATTGGCATTTGACAAATGATAATAACTAATTGGCATTTGATTTAACTGCTACACAATGCAAGAACCTCTGAAAATTTATTTTCTTCTACTGGGGGTGATATTCTTGTGGGTTTTATTTTTTAGGATTTCTCATGGATATGTTTCAAACACCCATCTTGCCTGAACCATCTCCTCTTGAAGAAAGCGAGGAGCAATTTGAAGTCTTTTGCAGAAAAAGTGGTAGGTACTACTGATTTTTTCAGTCCATGATATTTCACTCCTTTATTTCCTGTTTACCCCTCCCACCAGTCCTCATAATTTTGAGATAAGTAGTTGTTTGATAAGGTGTGGAGTGAAGAAGCCACTTCTTTCCTGATAATAAATTTAATTTACTGACAGGTTCTAAATTTTGATGGACAGTCTGAGAACAGCAGAAGCACTTTACTGTTAGCAAGCCTATGAATGTGTATATTAAACACGTTGCTTCTCTGTAGAGACTTAGGGTATTTAAACGCTAACTTTGAAAAGGGAACAGCTGGTACTTCATACAAGGAAAGCTTTTTCTAAAACATTTTGCAGGCTGCGTGTTAGTATCTGAATTGCAGTTAAAATTGTCTGAAAACCAGCTTTGAAAAAGGAACAGCTTTTCATACAAGGAAAGCTTTTTCTAAAACATTTTGCAGGCTGCGTGTTAGTATCTGAATTGCAGTTAAAATTGTCTGAAAACCAGGCAGTAGCAGTGGCTTACAAGAGTAAGCACAGAGATATTTCACAACTGGTCAGATGCAGCCAGGAAGGCTTCTGTACTCCTGGCCAGTCTTGGTTTTGAGATAGAAAAATCTTGCCCATGTCCAAGAGCTTATAGGAGAGAGGAATTGAGTGGCAATTCTGAGGATGCTCCTGGTCTAGCTGGGTGTAGGCGTGACCATCAGTGGCCTGGTTAGGGGTGAAAATGCGACTGTTTATATAATCTTCATTGGGTGAAGATAATATTGGTTATCTTTTATTTTTAAGAGCCTGATGGAAGTCTGAAAGCTAATGTTGTTGCCCCTGTCGTGCCTGCATTTTCTATCTTTGAAGATGAGAATGAAAAAGAGAACAGCGGGTAAGGAGGAAAAAAGTAACAGCTGAGTTCAGTTTATTAAGAATTACCTGTAGGATTGATTCCATTCCATATAATTTTGCTGTGACTGTATTTGCAGTATCAGGATTGGCTTGAATACAATCGCTAGCAGCTGTGTGGAAGTGGCATGAGAAAGCTGTAGTTGCTTCTCTGTGGAATTACGCAACTTTCCTGTTTGGACAGTGTGCTTGAGATGTTTAATTTTCTGGATAACTGTGGATAGCTTGTTTCTTTGAGCTACTGCAACTTCTCTAAGTATCTGCAAATGGGCTTCTTTAAAAAAAAAATTAAAAAAAAATTAAAAACAACAAGTCTTTGTTATGATCAGTCTGCCTGGGGAAAAGCTATTCTAAACTACCTGTTTTGTCAGGATCCCACAGCATAAAAACAAGCCAGAAGAGCCCAGAACTATTGGACAACGTCCCTTGACTGACTGTACAGCGGGTACAGAAGTGAGTGTTTGGCCTTATTGCAAGAATTAGCCTTGAAAATGGGTTACGTAGTTATAGGGGATATCGGAGGTGGTTGTATTTACCTTTGTTCTATCCCAATCCTGCAAGTGTCTCATGAATGATACCTAGCTGAAATCTAGATACCCTTTCCCATTTCCTGCCAATGGGATGAACTTTTTCAGTTGTTAATTTTTGCAAAACTTCTAGGAGCTTAATAGTGGAGACCTCTATCTCTAGAACAAATCTGACGGCACTTGATGTGTAGATTTGTCATCTGTTTGGGAGAGGAAGGACAGGGAGCAAGAGGCACTTAATGTTCTAATAACCACCTAACAGTTTTCATAGCCAAGGAGATGCACAAAACTTCAGGCTGCTTGGATATAAGTGATCACTAAGTAACGAGATAGGCTTTTTCAGACTCTTACGGCAATTTTTTGTTGTCTAGCATTTTGCTGTGATACTGGTTATTGCCAACATTCAGGTCTGATACAAAACTATGTAAACCTGTGATTTAGGTTATATCGCCATTCCTTTATTTTTCTAATTTTGTAAGTTGACACAGGCAGGCTCAACATTATTGAAACTGACTGCAGAGGCTGCTAGTAGGTTACAGCGCAGCTCTGGCAGGATAGTTTTGATGGCCTACTTTTAAATCTTTATATATTTTTTCCTGTCTAGGAAGAAACAGGGACAGCGGAGTTCTTGAGGGATGATTATACGGTGTGGAATGTACCAAGTAGTAATAAAACGTTAGCTCCCAGTCCAAACAACACAAGAGACTTTGCACGAGCTGCCCAGCTTGTATCAACGCCATTTAATTACCTGTCAGCACATTCGCGACAAGTTTTGGAGGACAAAGGTAAAATAATGAATGCTTAGGTGGAGAGCATCTAATTCAGTACTACATAACTCCATTTCTGTGCCCTGGTTACCTCGCCGGCCTTGCCAAATACTGCATAGGTATGGCTCCCACTGCTGCCACTTCTGAATACAAACTCCTTGCAGAACGGCAGCTGGGAGCATGGGCTGGCCAGCACATAAGCTTTCCAAGAATTTTTAATTGGGGGAATAAGAGAAGGTGGCGAGGGAAAAGAGAGACTTTGACTGTGCTGTAGAACTGCTGGTCTGAACTGTTCCAAGGGGTTGTAAATAGTCAAAAAATTGACTGAAGTCCCAGCACCTTCTTCTTCTGGGGGCACCTTTATGCTTGTCTGCCCCTCTTTAGTCTGGGAATACACTCCCTAGAGAAATCAAGCTGTTGTCTTTCCTTATAAGTTTTAGAATAGGCTTGTCCAGTTCTAGCTCTTGTGATACCTTAGCGACTTTCACAGCTGCAGGGTGACTTAACCTTCTTGTCTTGGTAAGAATACCTTAAATGTGCTTGCCTTTGGGGAAAATAAACATTTGCTATTGTTGCTACTCCCTTTGTTCAGCCTGTGGGGATGACTTGCCGCAAATGGATTTAGAGTTTTCTGAAGAACAGCACGAGCAGACAAAAACTAAGAAGCTAAGGTATGTCATGATTTCCTGAGATTTTCAAGGCTTGAGAGTCCTAGGCAAATCTGTGCCAGAGCAGGCAGGTCTGCTATGCTGCTCTTGATTCAAGTTTTCCAAGTAATCTAGAGCTGACGTATTTGTGGCAGGCTGGCTCTGCTTAGCATACATCTCAGCACTTTGTGGCGTTAAACGAACCTGGGTATGGTGATAATGTCCCTGAAAATGCTCCTATATGCAAGTTTTCTGACATGTTTAAATTAAAAGTTAACCGTCCAGAAAGTTTTAATGACTGTGTATGTAAAGCTACTGCTTTCTTTTCAATGTTGGCTGAACTTGTTGGCCGATGAACTTGTAAGTTATTAGACTATGGGTAGCACGATATGACCAGATCTTATTTTCTTAAGAAATGTCCGTTTTATTCATCTTAAAGTTGTTATGGCCAAAGTTGCAAGCATGGACACTTGACACATTTTTGCTTACTGAAAATGCAAAAATATACCATGGCAGTACTGTCAATTAATAATACTTTGTTTTAAATATGTAGCCCTGCTCTTGAACACATTGCAGAACAAGCAGAGCTTCAAGGAAATGTCGTGAAACAAGGAAATCGAATTCAGGGAATTGCTACAGCTGCTTCTCAAAGATTACATGAGCAGACTGCCACGAGCAGAACTGAATATTCCTCGTCTGTTGGGGTGGACAAAATTTCCCATGAAAAGCTGTCTGGAGCTGGGCAGGACAGGACAGCCCGGAGTGTTAGAGCTGCAGGTACAGAGCATTGCCTACGGTTTTCTTCCGTCAAGTCCGAGACCGGAGCGGTGTCATGTTCTTGCAGCAGTGCTTTGTTCCAGCAGTAAGGTGGTCACTGCAGTGAGCAAACTGTCTTGTGGCTCCTGCAAGGAGATCGCTGCGTATGTACAAGTTTGGGTCATACATGTATTACATGATGCCAAAGATATTCTGAAGTGCAGGAGTACTCGGGAGTGCCTAAGGGTTCTTAGTTGAGGCTCAAATACTTCAAAAACATCTGTCTTTCTGGGCAACTTTAACAGGGAAGACATAGGTATAAAAGCTGGATTGCCAAAATTGAGGAATACTCTTTGGTTTTTGTGGTATTTTTTTTGTTTTTTAAATCGTTGATACTCATTTAAGCTTGTGTTACCTCTTTGAAATGACACTCTTCTTATAGCTTAAATATTTTTCTTCTTTCCATGAAGTCCTTGTTGAGAACCCTTGGGATAAAGAATTGATTTGCAAATTCTTATCAGAGCTTCCTAAACCACTCCACACCTATGCCAACTACTTCGAATGGAAATCTGCTCTTCCATCCGTCAAACTGAAGGCTGTACTCCCACTGGGTAAGAGCTACTTTAAAGCATTTCTTGAAGCTTTTCTGCGAATCTCTGAAGTATTTTTCTAGTTCAGTTTACTTGCGCGTATATCCAGATAGCTTCCAGATTATCTAAGACTCAGATTTGAAATTAGACCTGGTTTTTTGTTTGTCTTTTGTAGCATAAGCATTTTTGATTAGGCATTCTGAGTAGGAAATTTTCCTAGTTTTCCTTTCCTAGTAATCTGTGACACAACTCTCGAACTTTGTATAGAACAGCAGTGGTCCTGTGTCCACAAAATCTGTATGACAGTAATTGCAACATGCTTGTATGACTTAAACATTAGTGTTTACTTTTTAAGGAACGCACTTTGGAATTTGATTACTTCCAGGGAGTCAGGCTAAAATAGAAACACTGATTTTTAGTATGTGGCACTTCGCAGCACTCTTGTTCTCAAAAGTGAGTACAGGCTCTCTTCGATTGAAAGGCTGGCTAGCCAGAAGAGACCTGTGGAGAAAGACTGGCATTAGGGTGAAAGCAATAACATGTATATGGCTGGGGGTTTTTTTTTTTTTTTTTTTTTTTTTTTTTTCCCCCCCTCCTTTTCTGAGTGGTGATGTCTCTTCCGTGAAGTTTGTAAGCAGGACTTAATGTTGTTAATCTCTTAAAGGTTCCAGCTCGTTCCATGTGGACTGCTTGGTTGGAGAGGGAGCTTTTGCTCAAGTCTATCAGGCTTCCATTCTGGATGCAAGTAACCCAAGAAACAATCAGAAAGTAATATTCAAGGTAAGTAGTGTTGATTCAGAATAGCTCTGCTGGAAAATTTTGGAGTCTTATAGTAATGATACCTACCCTGGGTGGATTCTGCTGAATTTTCTTATTTATAAATATGAAGTAAAGCATATTGGTCTGTCCTCAAAGCCTTGTTCAGATTGAATGCTGTGTTTGATTCATTCTACATGGGAAGTTATTTATCCTCTTGACTCAACTTGCCTCTTCATCTTTTCTTTATAAAGTAGTTACAAGTATCCCAAGGAGTAAGAATTACAGCCAGGCTATCTTTCTCAGCTGAACAAAGGCAGCTACTTGTGCAAGTGCTCTTAGTCCACAGCAAATGAAAACGGGTGTGGATTGATGATAAAATTGCTCTTGCTACTAGGTCTCACTGAAAGGGCCACTCTTTGTTCCAGATACACGCTAGCTTTCCACAGGCATTTTTGCACTTTGTGCTGCCAGCCTGTTTGGCAGCAGCTGACTATTACGTAGACTTTGCTGGGTGATACCTCTCTGGTGCGGTTTTATTAATAAACACGCTTGTCTTGATGGCGACTGTAGATTGAGCAGTTCCCTCTCTGCTCTGCCCTGTCTTCTTCCAGGCTGCTTCAGTGCAGGAATGAGCAACAGATGATAGCATGTGTTTACATCAGAACCGCTGCCAACGGGAAAGTCTGTGCAACTGCGAGGTCAGCTTAGTCCAAGAGGGTTGTACTAGGTCACGCATCCCTGCATCTGCTGCTGGCTGAGAGGGCACGTATGCAGTTACTACAGTCTGGCTGAAGCGATTGAGCTGACACACACACGCCCCTTAGCCTCTCCACATTAGATCTCTTTTCCTACGTTTGGAATCTTTTTGTGGATCTCTTCTGCAACATTTAATCTTTCAGCAAAAATCTTTTTAGTGTAACATCTTAACTGAGAGCTTTCTAGTATGGAAAGGTGACTTTCTAGTATGGAAAGGGGTTTTTTTGAGCATCAGGTATTCAATGTAGTGGGGGAAATAGCAGGGGAAGGAATCAGAAGGGTTTTCCTGTTTTGACTTCCGAAGCCTTCTCTCTTACACAAAATGTCTGTTGCCAGGAGAAACATCAATGTTGCAGAAAGACTGACATTTTAAATCACACAAAAGAGTGTATAAGCCAGAATGGAATTGTGGCGTGTAATTGAAGTCTTGGTTCAAGAGGATTATTCGTTGAGTGTATCGACCTGAGGTTAATTACTGTAGATATAAGTATTTTATTTGGTCAAGAGGAAAAATGCCTAGTCTGCCATTAAAAAAAAGAAAAAAAAAAAAAAACAACAAACAAAAAAAACCTCAACCTGAGAAGAACTTCTGCTTTAATGCCAATAGATTTTTTCCTAGTAAATCAACTTTTTGGTTACAGGTCCAGAAGCCTGCCAACCCTTGGGAGTTCTATATAGCAACACAACTGGTAGAAAGGCTCAATCCAAGTACACGCCATCTCTACATCCACTTTTATTCTGCTCATTTCTTTCAAAATGGAAGCATTTTGGTTGGTGAGCTCTACAACTATGGAACATTGCTAGTAAGTGTAATCAGCTTATGTTTTTGAACATCTATATTCTTTTTTAAGTCCTATTATATTACAATATTCAGATGTCTCCTCCACTCTCCACTTTATGGACCTTCATTGTGAACATATTCTGTGTTTATCAACATGGACCTGTAATCCATATCAAGTTGTTTCTGTGTAGCTGATGGTTCTTCGCTATCTTTTTGTTTACAGAATGCCATAAACATTTACAAAAAGCTTCCTGAAAAGGTGATGCCTCAAGCACTTGTAATCTACTTTGCTGTAAAAATTCTTTATATGGTGGAGGAGCTCCACAGCTGCAAAATCATTCATGGTGACATTAAACCTGACAATTTCATACTTGGAGAAAGGCAAGTATTTCCCTTTGCTACCTGAGGTGCCAGCATATCATGATATCATAGCCTTGATACTTATGTGATCACTTCTTGTCATCATCGTTGAAGGTTTCTGGACAATGATACGTGTGACATAGATGGTCTCTCTCATGGCTTGACGCTCATTGACTTGGGCCAGAGTATAGACATGAAACTCTTTCCTGAAGGAACAGCATTTACTGCAAAGTGTGAAACATCTGGATTTCAGTGTATTGAAATGCTGACGCAGAAACCGTGGAACTACCAGGTATGAGATTGCATAGACAGCCTGAACGTTTGGAGCTTACTGCATGCATCTGGCGTGAATAAATGGGGTATAGAAATATTAGACTTTTGCACTAGAGTTGTAGCTTCAGCTTGTTGCTTTAAAAACGCAATCCTGAGCCCTCTTCTTACAGAGCTTGCCCTGTTGGCTCCACAGGGTATTTTTCAGCTAATTTTCAGTGGTCTCAATACATTTTTAGTATGAAACTTGTTTATCCTTTGTTTAGACAGACTACTTTGGCATCGCAGCAACGGTCTACTGCATGCTCTTTGGTACCTACATGCAAGTGAAGAATGAAAACGGTATCTGGAAGCCTGAGGGAGCCTTCAGAAGGTTGGTGTCAAAAATCTTTTCAAAACCTTCCCTTGTCTAGAAAGATGCGTCATTAGTACCAGGTTTGTTTGAGGTTAGTTTCTGTCACAGCTTTCAGTGTTGCTTGCGTGCACTTCTTGATGCCCTAAAAACTGTGTTCACTGCACGGGAAATGCTTCACAGAATTCACTGACTTAAGCACAGGAAGCGTTTCAGCAGTGCAGGTGGGAAATTGCACGGCGTCCTCAGCTACCTGCTGCCTGCAAGGAGGAAACAACTAACGAGGAAAAATCCCACTGGTTCGCTAAGCAGCGTGCCACAGCGGAAGCTGCGTTGTGTTAGAGCGATGTCTGCAGTCGCTCCAGTCTCTAACTGGGGAGGGAGCGGGGTAAATAAGGGAAATAGTATTTTAACAGCGTGAATTTAGAAACTTATTGATGCGTTTTTGTTCCTTTGCAGGCTTGCCAACGCTGACGTATGGAAAGAGTTCTTTGAGAGCATGCTGAACATCCCCAATTGCCACAGCCTGCCTTCTCTAGGAGTTTTGCGCAGAAGGCTGAAGGACTTATTTTGCAAGTCATACGCAAAGGAAATAAAGTTCCTTCGGAACAGACTTGTTGTGTTGCTTATAGAACACAAACGGTCACGAAAATAAGCGTTTCGTTTGCACAGTTACTGAGGACTGGCATTTTATTCATGTGAAATCTTTTTGTAATAACTTGTTTTAAAAATAAATGTTCTTGAGGTTAACTTCAGGAATGATAACTTGCATCTTTCTATGCTTTTATGGAAAAAAATTACACTACAATTACTTGTTGATTTAACTTGTCCGGTTTGGGAGGCATGGGCATGCTGGAGACTGTAGCCAGTTGTCATAATATTGTGTATTTCTAAGGGGAAAAAAAGCTGGTGGGAAGTAGCGTACAGATGAAGTAATTGCTTTCAACCTCCCCTGGGATTTTTGAAAAAGCTCATTGCATCATCCACGTTGACGGGACCTTGGGAAGTCAGCTGCGCTGACCTGAAAGCAAGGTCAGTGCTGAGTTCAGGCTCCCAAAATACGAAGAATGCTGAAGAGAGCCTTTGGGGAGGAGCGAGTCGTTGGAAACGGGAATGTAATTCCAGACTGAGACCCTACCATCGTGGAAGACTCCAGCATCTCTTCTAAGAGAAGTGAAGACAGCAAGTGGAAGTGAAATAGCATGTAACGTGGGCTACGAGAGCGTGAACTCGTGTAGCTTTTCTACACCTGATCAGGGAAAAACCCGAGGTCGGTATGTATAAGGCGGACAAGTTTTCTGTAGGTCTTTCTCCCAGAAAAGCCACTGCAGATAATTAATGAATAGGAGGAAATGCTGTTTTAAGTCGGTGACGAGACAAATGCGCAGATGAGCTGGTATTGCAATTCTTTGAGGTTTGGGGCTCCGACATTCACAGCCCTCCTGCTCTACCCTTTCTCTCGGGAGCTTCTAGGTTGAAAGAAACAGATTCGCAGATCAGATTTAGATTAGATAGGACTGAAATCACACTTGCCCCTTTTGTTAAAGTCACTTCTGACCAGCCACAACACAATTGTTAGAGGGGGGAAACCAAGAGGCAAATATCTCTCCTTACTGGAATTTAAAGGGTTATTTTCTGTCTGTAATGAGGTTTTGTTTTCCCTTACTGTGGCAGAATGTTGTGGAAATACTCTGGGAAAAGGCCGGGAAAGCGCTCCTTTAAAAGTGCCCCTATCCTTTATCTATTTTTTAAGTGTCTCTTAATTACAGTGGCCATCCACCGATGCAGTGAATCGTTGCTGCCTACACAAGTCACTCGAGTTTGCATGAGGTTGGTTTGACTTTATAGCTATTTTGTCAAATGTCGAAATAACTTGAGTGACCTGAATTACACAAACTCCAAAGAAATCTAGCGGGCACCTTGAACACGTCAGCTCCACGGCGGCATCTGCGCTGGGCTGTCTTCCTTGACTTGGGAGCAAAGGCTGTGCTCTTGGATGATCCCAGCACCGAAGTGCTTCTCTCCCTGAGGACCTTCTTCCCATCCGTGGATAAAACGGGGAGCCGTAACCAGGAGTTATGGGACCTGGAGTAATTTGTAAAGAAGAAAACGTATGGGGGAGAGGAGAGCCGGCAGCGCTGCACAGGGAAATTGGTGCTCAGCCTGTGTGCGGCGTGCAAAAATACAGCATTTGGACTTTGTCAGCCTGGCTTTACTGCCTGCACATCCTCCTTGCTCAAACTGTGTACGAGTGACGTGCGGGCTTAATCTATTGAGAAGCTGGAGAGCACTCTCGCAGCGGCACGCTTCAGAGGGGCTCTGGAGGAGTTCACCGCAGCCTGTGGGATGCAGTTATCCTGATGCTGCTCACCGTCGCGTTGGTGCAGTGCCCTGGTTTATAATCCCACGGAACGGATAGAAAAAAGGATGTTTTATCGGCAGAGCCCCGCGGGGGGAGGTGAGGGCATTAATTTTATTTGTGCATCTATCCACAGGAGGGAGACAAACAACAGACTTTCATAAATCTCCCTGCCTCCCACTCTATTTCAGGGGTATTTTTCCTCTGCTTAAATTGTTCCACTTTACAACCATCCAGGGGTTGGGTAGGTGAGCTAAGCGCAGGCCGGCCGGTACAGCCCTGGATGCTGAGGAAGGGCAGGGATGCCTGTCCACCTGCCTGCAGTTTCGGGACCCCCGGCAGCACTGCTCCTTCCTTCCTTTGGGAAAACCTTTTCCATGTCACACAGCAACGTGGGATGTTTCTTTCCAGCAGCAGGGAGCATCTCCCTGCAGCTGGGGCTCCTCTGCCTGCCTTTATGGCAAATAACTCTTGGCTTACCCTTTAATGCAGCCTTCTTTGCCTCTTGTGGCATATGGAAAAGCCTTTGGGTTTGATACGAAGCAGCTGGTTAACAAGTCAGCTGTAAGCACGTTGCACCGTGAGGCAGATCAGCTGGAGAAACCTCCTTGTAGCTGGTGGAAATATAATGCAGCTGGGGCTCCTCTGCCTGCCTTTATGGCAAATAACTCTTGGCTTACCCTTTAATGCAGCCTTCTTTGCCTCTTGTGGCATATGGAAAAGCCTTTGGGTTTGATACGAAGCAGCTGGTTAACAAGTCAGCTGTAAGCACGTTGCACCGTGAGGCAGATCAGCTGGAGAAACCTCCTTGTAGCTGGTGGAAATATAAACATTCTAT